ATTGGAGTGGGAAGCACTAAGGGCACTTGTGGTCAAAACATATGCATCACATCATGAGAGCATGAGGAAGTTGCAACAGCCCAGTTTGGCTGTTTTCCTTTCTCCTTCGAGTCCCTAGGCCGTAATGGATGTTTTTGTGAGAGGCCATTAACATCTGCATTATTAAGATCTGTATTAGGAACAATAAGGTTTTCATAGTATGACCTCACAAGTGAACCGTAACGGTCCCTCATGCAAAATCTCGAACCACTGAGTTTGCTCTATCGTATAAATCACGTTTAAGCGGCAGTCCCTGCTAGGATAGCTCCAGACAATGTAGCGTAGAGAGAATTTATGATCTTCTGCCATCTCATTTGTTAAGGTGTTACCTGCGTGCATCTCCACACGAACTTTGACCGTTCTCGGACCGTGCAATGCAAAATGAGTGTTTTTCATCAACAACAAAAAAGCCATGGGAACCAATCAGTAAGCAGAATTCATCCAATTTGAAGAAGAACATCACAGAAGGCTGTTTTTGAGAAAAAGCACAAATATATGTGTGCCGAGCAATCCATTTAAAACTTTCCGAAGCACCCGACTTCTAGTCTAAATATTGTATAAAACAGATTTCGATATAGATTTTATATTTCATTCGCAGTGAAATGGTATATCCAAAATGGAAAAATGGAATGTATAATTGAAAAAAAAACGCAATTCGTCCTCTGGTGCACCTGGAACGAAGAATAAGAGAAAAACCAATTACGTATTACGTGAATGTGCCATAAATAACGAGGAAAACCTTATTACGAAAATTCATATCGAGGCCTGGGGCACCTTCCTGGTCAGATCAGTCCCGAGCAATCCTGTGACTCTCACATCGATCCCAACAAAAAGAGATCGGGGATTTCTATTCAGTGGAAGCACTTATAGTTAACGGCGCTTCTAGCCACTCCATCAATCATTTTGATAGAGGTTCATGTCGCGCTACAAAAATTGCGTAGTACATACAGTGATTAGGTGAAACTCCCCTTCGAGGAGGTAGGGAGAGGGCAGCCCTTTGTGCTCTGCGATGCTAAGGTAAGCATAAGAGTTTTCATGACGCGTGATAGATCCGTTTAAATTACTTCTGATTAGGAACAGTGTAGTGTGGAAGTACTCGTGAACTGCTTCCACATTTTGGCCTGTGGGGTCTAACGAAATGTTCCTGAACTAAGGTATGAACATCCTTTCCCATGCGCAAGAGTGTAGGAGCCCAAGATGGAAGATTACATTCCATAAAATTGTCTAGGATGTGAGCAGGAAAAGGGCGATGTAAGTCAAACAACAGTCCTTCTCGATAGTGCACTTGAAATGGGTCGCTCACCTATTTTCTTATCCATAGGGTTGAATACCAAAAGAGTGCTCTCTGGTACTGAGGATAAAAAAAAGTGGGCCTCCTCGCCTCCCCACTCGAACTGGAGTTTCACCAGCGATTTACCTACTACAGGTCTCCGACTCAAATATAAAAACAGGAAAGCTTGGGTCGGATGCCTTGAAAAACGGTTAGCTTTGACCTGTTGTCGGCTAAAAATGGTAAATATACGTAATTACGTGTGGCTGCAGAAGTGCCTAACTGACTGCATAGATTGCAATATGTAATAATGTGATATGGGAAACATGACAATACACCGTCCTATTGATGCAGCGACAGTGATTTTTCTGCATATGCACAAATTGGTGGAGCTCAGAAAAGATTCCTTAGGGGGTGAGCAAATCATCAGTTCGAGTATTGACCGTAGACAACAATTCACTTATCAATGAGGAGCAATCTTAGGCATCTACATTCAAATCTGCAATACCTCCACCAGTTTTTATGCACTCGCTCCTTGAGTCGCTTGGGAGAGGCATCCATCGTAACATGGAGGCGGGTGCCCTTCAGTTTTTCTCAGACCTATTAAAAAGTAATCTCTAGGTCCTAATAACTGAGCGGTTCAGAACGCACATTTCAAATTCGCTCGACCTATCAGTATAGCGATAACACTCTTGACAACTGAGATGTCGAACGTTTCCGATTGGTGGTAGAGCGGTCGCAAACTCTAATACTGTCGGATGTGGATCACTTTCCACAGTATCCATGCCATTCGAGGCGCCTTTTATAGTGAACTCCAACTTCTCTCTTCGCGCTATGCATTTAATACTAGGTTGTGAAGAAAGTTCTTGCGCTTTTCGGTGTTTCGTTTTTGAACGCTTTATTTTGTTACGAATTCAAGCAAGCCGCCAATGAGCTGTATGTGGTTTTGAAGAGCTTTTCTTGTTCTATCTAACTACCGGGCCAGCTATGTTTCTTATCGTTTAGTTGTCATTTTTTGAAGCCTTGAATATGGCATACTCCAAGAGCAAATTTGCATGATTTCCTTTTTCTAGCTCAAAGCGGGCCAGTATGGAGAGAGAGCAGGTCAAGATATTATAGATGCACTTGGCTGAGACTCGCAATAAATATGGTCTGAAGCAGTTGCTCAAAAAGCTTCTGTAGGTATAGTGAGAGCCTAAAGATTGTGAGGGTGGTGATACAGTTACACACACTGACGAATATAGATGCACATGAATTTTTAATGTTTGTCAAGACTATCTCTAGAACTGTTGGGACATATGCTCGAAATTCCTCATTATAAAGGAACGGCTCGACCCTGACAGGGTAGCGCGGACGCACATTCCACAACCAAAACCCTGCAGAAGTTCGACAATACTCTCCTACGAATTAGCCCTGCCAAACGTCCTCTCGATAGACCTTTGCCTATCTACTTTG